TCAACTTCCACAGTGGGGTTCCCACAAGAGTCAAAGATCTCTCGGGCATGCATCTTGAGAATCGACATGTTGGATTTCTGGCTACCGGATCTCGTCGCCCAGGAAGAAAAATGAGGGTGCTACACATGCGCGTTGAAGTGGCCTTCAATTTTTTTTATTTGCTGTTTTTAATAGATTCACTATTTAAGGGCATTCTAAGGAATCCTTCACGTGACTATTGCTAGCAAATTGGCTTAAGTTGAGGTGGAGTTGAAATTATCAAAACATTTTTTGTTAGGTCTTGCTGTGTAGTCCATGCCTGGTCTTGAACTCGCTGTTTGTCCCACGCGCTCCCCTCACGCTCCCCCTCATCTGCCTGCCTCAGCCTCCTGAGTAGCTAGGATTGCAGGCATGTGCAGCTGCACACCATGCATGCACCCTCGTGAATCCCAGTAACACTCTGAAGATACAGAGTGAGCAGGCTGCAGTGGCGCTTGTCTGTAAAACCAGCACTTGGAAGGCAGAAGCTGGAGGATCGTGAATCTGAGACCAGCTTGGGCCCACTGATGCGACCCTGTCTCGGAGCTCGGGGGTACAGTGCTTTTCCCTTCCTGGCTCACCCCCTCAGAGGGGAAGGAAGTGTGTGAGCCCGGCCAAGAACTAGAAGGTCCTGTAAGGTGTCTTCCTGGCAGGTGTGAGGACAGACGTCATCCCTTGGCTACACAGGGAGGGCGCCAGGACCCACCCCATAGACGCTGAGGACACGCAAATCCCTCAGATAGAAGTATTTGTACCCACCTCATCCACATCTCCCTAGACTTTATGTCATCTCTTACTTAGAATCCCTGGACTGGTGGGGGTGAACCTACAGCATGTGTACTGCTGTTTTTCTTTTAAGACAAAAGACATTCCTATATGAGTTGTTTTTCCTCAGTGTGCAGGTTTGATTGCAGTGTTGGCACTAGGAGATAAGAGCGTCTTGGCTTGGGGTTTGGGCCATCGTGTCTGACAGGTTCGCCGTCACTGCCCTGGACGATGTGAAAGCTTTGTGGGTGGGTGTTAAACTGCACTGTTGAGGGACAATCTTAAGAATAAAGCTGCACACCACACTCAGTACATGTGACTCAGGACATGCAATTTCTTTATTAGTGGCCTCCTGTGGTTGGGCCTGTGGATGTACCACCCATAAATTTGGAGCGGGGCTGTGACCAGTGGTCCCAAAAGTGATCCTGTGCTGAGGGCTGCCTGCAGCCAAGAGCATGCGGGTTGTGGCATGCCTCCTGCTGGACCGCTGGACCTCTGCCACCTCCCAGCCATGCCTAGTTTTTCCCTCCGGGAACTTGAGCTAGCTTCTCACTGTGCTGCTAATCACCTGAAGCCTTCTGAGAACCAGACAACAGCAACTCGTGGTGCCCAGTGAGGGGACTCACGGAGGCTGCTGCATCAAGCCGTAAGGCAGGCTTGCTGCACCAGGCTCCGGCTCAGTCCACA